TGTGTGTATTTAATTCCTAATGTGTATTTAATAGTGAGAGAATTCCTAATTAATATGGTACATTTAATTCCTAATGTGTATTTAATGTGTGTATTAAATTCTATAATTGTATTTAATATACTAGGGGGTGTCATTTTTCCAACACTAAGGGGGGTTAGCATGCTAACCGACCCCAGAATTACGAATCGTCTATATATGATTTACCAAATTATTGGTTTTGTGATTTTGGGGTGTCGTGTCATATATGGTTTACATGCAATATATATAGTACATTCAAGAGGGAGCCCTTTTATCATGGCTTACCCGGGAATTTTGGCTTTGTCACGGATAGGGCTCAAAATTTGCCTATTCTATTCCTGTCCCGTAACTGAAGGGTCAAGATGTATAACTGACCAGTCTCGTCCCTGTATTCTTCTTGATCATGTCTGACCCTCAAGGGTTGGGACGGGACGGGTCGGGTCGGTTCAGCGGGTCGACCCTAATCAACACACTACTTTTTTTAAAATTACGTTTTGGTAACAAAAATTATTTTTTATTACAATTTAGTACCTAAAAATTATTTTTTACAAATAAGTCCATAGATTTTGATGTAAAATTACGTTTTGGTTCCCTAATATTTTTATTTTTACAAGTTAGTACCTAATCTTTTAAAACTTTACAAAAAGGTCCAATGTGGTGTGAGATATTTGTTGTTGTTAAGGATCACGGGGTCAAAAAGTGACCCGTCCCTAAGATGTCCTGACCCGTCCCGACTCTTACAAGGTCAACAAATGACTCGTCCCTAATCTGACCCATAATGTTGGTCACCACTTTCCTTTTGGTACACATTCCTTCGATGTGTACGATGTCGGTCTTCGACAATGACTTTATTATGATGTAATAGGGATATCGCAGAATCGTTCTATTACTAATATGAATTAGGCGCTAAAGCATCAACCTTTCTAAAAAAGACAGATAAATGTCATTCATGACCACATAAATTCCTATATATATGAACCTGGAAACTCCCATCGCCTATGCAAGTAATGACTCGCTTGTCTTTGGCTGCTCACTACAAAAAAGAGATGCTATACCAAGGGTTGGAAAACCCATGCTAGATCTTATAATAGGGGTTTAAACCCTTGGTATAAACCAAAATAACCCTTGACATAGACCATTATTTTTATAGTGGCTTGAGCATATCCAAGAGTAGCACTAACTAACCAACCAATCGATCCATATTGCATTTGGAATTCATAGCTTGTAATAACTTAGTACGGTCGGAAACTATTTTTTTTATAATGGTGAAAATTTATTAAAAGAAAGGAAACAAGGGCACGAGCCCAGTTCAGTACAAAGAGCAACAGAATGGGAGCACAAGCGGTGCAGCCCAAACCCATTCCCAAAAGCGAAAAGGAAAAAAAGGGAAAAGAGAAACGAGACAAACAAAACCCCAAACCAGAGAGAAGAAACCAGAACACCCAAACCAGAACAAAAGAACCGGACTGCCAGCAGAACCCGAAAGAAGACCCAAGAGGCCAGGAGCTGAACAGCAGCAACAATACAGCAGCAGCTCGGCAGCAGCAGCCCGACACCAGACACGACACTCAACACAAGCCGGCCGCGACCCACCATCAGCGACCAAGAAACCGAGCATCAACAGCGCCGACAGAGGCGACAAAGCCCAGAGAAATATATGAAAAGCTCGCAGACCACGCACAGAGCAGCATCAGGGCAGGAGAACAAACACCCAGCTCAACCAGCAGAAGCAAAAACTTGAGCGCCAAGAGACCTTCGACATCCAACAGCCAGGACCTCCTTCAAATCCCAGCCAAGTTATCCCTGAACCATCTAGCACCTACACCGGCATCCACTTTTCTGAGAGCAGTGATCCATTCCAACGCGTTCTTAGCAGCCCTGCGAGCCACCACCCCAGCAAACGAAACTTTGTCTTTAAACACTCGCTGATTCCGTTCGAGCCATACATTCCACCACACAGCATGGAGGATACACTCCTTAAACCACGAGTCAACGTTCTCCAAAGCCCCCGAATCCCAATCTTTAATAAAGCCAGTAATATCCCTCGACTGAATCTGCCCCGCCCAGCTGCTCCCGTAGATACATCTCCACACAGACAAAACAAACTCACACTCGATGAACATGTGCTGCACTATCTCCTCATTGCTTTGATAGAGGAAGCACCTATTAGCCAGGCTCCACCCCTTCTTCATCAAATTGTCGATGGTGTGTATCCTGTTAAGATACACCAGCCACATGAAAAAGCATAACTTGCTAGGCACCACCGGTTTCCAAACTTTCTTTTCAAGGAAACTCCATGGAATTTTTCCTTCGCCAATACCTCGTACATGGATCTCACAGTAAACTTGCCACTAGTGCCTGGAATCCAAATCATTCTGCAGGGACTATATATATCTTTAAACACATTAGTAGACTCAAGCAAATTAAATAAATTTAGACGCTCCCTCTCAGCCCTACCCCTTAAAGAGAATTTAAGGTTAATACACCAACTCACCATCTCACCGTTGAAGCTAGCAGTGTCGGAGAGCATGGCGTTGGAATCCGAGGCAGATGAAGCGACGCGGGGAAAAGCTTTGGATAACAGTCTTCTAGGGACCCAAGGATCGTGCCAGAATGAACAGGCAGCAAGCAAGCAAACCTCTAGAAATTCTCATACTGTCTCGTGATACTAGCCCAAACAGACTGAGAGGAGCCCCTTTTAACCTTATGAGTATGCCAAAATGAGGACGGGTTAGGGTATTTCAGACTTATCAACTCCCGCCACCAGCTCTTCCTCTCAACAGCAAACTTCCATAACCACTTAGACAACATAGCGTCGTTGAACGACTTCAAGTCATGGATGCCGAGCCCCACATCTTCCTTGCCAGCCTTACACGTGTTCCAATCAACCAAAGTCATTCTATTATTCACACCCACCCCATTCCACAGAAACTCCCTTTGAATCCTTTCCATGACATTGATGACGGAGGCCGGAGCCTTGAAGAGGGAAAACAAGTAAGTAGGCATACTTGAGAGCACCGCTTTGACAAGAACAAGTCTTGCCCCATAAGAAAGGTGTCGACTACCCCACTTGCTGAGTTTATGATGCATCTTCCCCACGACTAGATCCCAAATTGTAGAGTCGTTCGCCTTGGCACCAAGGGGAAATCCGAGGTACTGAGGGGGATTTCTGTTCCAATGACATCCAAAGATGGCTGCAAAAAAGCTTGGATCCACCACATCACCGACAGTATACATTACTGACTTGTCAAGATTAATTCTGAGACCAGTAACGGACTGAAAGCAAGCGATAACAGCCAGCACATGAAGCACCTGATCATAGTCAGCATCGCAAAAGATGAGGGTGTCGTCGGCAAACACCAGGTGAGTGACTTCCCCCCTCTTCAACTCTTCGTTCATGAAAAACCTTTCAAACTTACCTTCTTCCCGCACCAAGTTCAACATCCAAGATAACACCTCCGTAACTAGAACGAAAAGACCAGGAGAAAGAGGGTCCCCCTGCCGTAGCCCTTTGGAAGCCGCGAAAAACCCATTAGCTTCCCCGTTGACAATCACCGAGATAAAGGGGGAACACATAGAGCCTTTAATGCAATGAGACCAGTTATCCGAAAACCCAGCAGCAGCTAACAACTTGAACAGGCAGCTCCAATTGACGTTATCGAAGGCCTTTTCAATGTCCAGTTTGAACATCAACCTGGGTCTTCTACTCTTCTTACGGCTGTCGACCAATTCATTGGCGATAAGACCAGCTTCAGAGATCTGCCTCCCATGAACTGAAGACAATTGGTGTTTAGATATAAGTTTGGGGAGAACCAGACCCAGCCTTCTGGAGAGAACTTTACTCGCCAATTTTTTAATGCTTCCCATCAGGCTAATGGGTCTCAGGTCTTTGATATCCTCGATTGATAATAGCCGACAATCCCAGTCTTAACTTCTTCCTTATCTTCAATCAAAACCCCGTTAATCTTGATTCGATCAACAAAATTCACCTTCCTTCTATAGTTTGCAGCATTATGGAAGAGACAGCCTCTTAGCCAAGAGAAACATACGTCCATTACCCTGCAGGCTTTCTCCCATCCAGCTGCTCAAACTCTCAAAAAACCGCCCATCTTCGAGCCACATATTCTGAAAACGCCACGGCCTCTTAATCCTCCCGTCAACACCCCACTTCAAAACCATCAAATTATGATCCGACTCCACACACTCCATAGCTGACAAGAAACATTCTGGGTGGAGATTATCGAACTCCTGAGTTACCAAAACTCTATCAATGCAAGAACGAGAACTACTATTCACACCATGACTCCAAGTATACTTGTTGCTGCCCAGAGAGAGCTCGAGCAACCCGTTGCTATCAATGAAGGAGTTGAACTTGAGCATTAGTTCATTGCCTCTTCTTGCTCCTTGATAGTCGTCGTGATTCCTAACCAGGTTAAAATCTCCAGCAATGCAGACAGGGCCTTGGTGCCTCACACAATAATCATGTAATTCCCTGATAAACGCCAGCTTGTCCACTCTCTCCTGCGGACCATAAACGACCACCAGATGCCATACTTTCGAGCCACGAATCTCCATCAGATCAACAGCGAGGAAGAACCTGCCTTCAAAGCTGGACAGCTTAGAGAAGAAGGCTTTATCCCAAAATACCACAATCCCACCAGAGCTTCCAACAGCATTTTTAGCAACCCAGTCGAACTCACGTCTGCTGTACAAGCTGCCCACGATTCTATCGTCACACAACGATAATTTTGTCTCAGTAAGGCCCACGATCTTAGGATTATGTCGCCCGATCAACCATTTCACCCTGCTTCTCTTATCACGATCGCCAATTCCCCTGATATTCCAAAATACAAAACTCGTATCCATAGTTTACTAATGAAAAGGAACCTCCCTGCTGATCCTGCACCTTCTAGGCCCCGGCAGAGCGGGAGCCCTCGGACCCAATCTTTGATTTTCCATTTCGAGTTTAGAAGGCGATACCCTTATCTCCTCTGATGCAGTTCTTTAGCCGACTGCAGTATTGCCTCATCACCCTTCTCCTGATTTCCATCCACATCTAGGTTTAACAACCTACTCACAATGAAGCATTTCTCCGATAGCGTCTCTACGTCAAAAGGGAAGAGATCCGGGTTCCACTGTCTACTTCCACCTGAATCGAAACACGAGGGATAGGGGAGCTCGTCCCACACTTCAGCCCCACTCTCCGATGGGGTTTGTGGGACAAAACTAAGCAGATCAACTCCGCAGGCGTCTTCCATATTCGCGATAGGCAAACCAGGCTGATCCTCATCCTCCACGTCTGGAAAGTCTTGTCCCAGGCTCTACGGTCCGGGCGGTAAACCTGTGGAAAAGGAATCGGGGCGCGAAACCTCTATGAATAATTCGGAGAATCGCAGTAAGTCGTATGCCGAAGTAGTAAAAGGTGGAATCGAATTCTATGGAGCAGGGAAGTGCATTATCAAGCGAAGTGGACCAAATCGTTTCATTGAGGTTGGGGATACAGGGGTAGTAGAAAGAGAGGAACTTCTCGGGCGTTGTTTAATTTTATCCTCTGTCAGTTTCAAGTCGGATGCTCTTGCTAGCTTTAGGCAGTGGGCTGTTCACAACTGGGCGATTGACAAAAGCTTTGTTATCGAAGATAGATGTGATGGAAGTTGGTTGTTAATATGCCCATGTGTCGCTGAAGCTCAAAGAATTAAATCTCTGGAACATCTGAAGTTTCGAGGAGAGCATATTAAGTTCTTAGAGTGGCAGGATGGCGTCAAGAATCCGAGGGCCGACGTTGTTCGGATCTTTGCCTCCAACATACCTATGCATCTGAAAAGTGTGAATTTACTGAAGACCATCGAAAATTTCTGTGGTTCGTTCATAGACATCGACTGGAATTCATGGTATCTTCCTTTCGATCGGATCAGGATCAAGAAAACTGCTCGCATTCCTAATGAAGTTCCTTTAAGGTTCGGGTCTCAATCTTTCTCCGTGAAGATTGTGGTCTCTCCGGAGGCGACCTCGGCGGACGGCAGAATGATTGGAGGGAAGAGGAAGGGTCATGCTTCGGTTACGTCCACCAGCACTTTGTCCAAGGACACGCATGCAGTGAATATTAACGCTGGAGGCAACTCTATAATTAATAGGAATAGTCGGCCGACCCACTTTTTCAAAGGCAGCCGGGAAGTCGAAAGAGCGTAAGTTGTTTCCTATTCTCCTTCCTTCGGGGGTCGGGTTAAGCGCGTGTGGATCAGAAAGGAAGGGCCTGTGTGGCCGTTTCCCAGAGCTGGGCCCAATCCTAGTCCTAGCGATCGGAGGGAGAAAGCTGCTAGGTGTATCTCTTATCCGGGCTGGGCCTCGCAAAAGAATGGGCCCGCGGGTATTGGTGGATCGTCCGCGCATTCTCCTTGGTGCAGCCCAGTTCGTAACATTTTCTGGAATCTACACCCTTGCCTTGTCCAACTTGCGTTGGGCTTCCTCGGTAGGGAGTTTCGAAGGAACTATCCGAACTGTTTGGGCCTTCCCTCTTCGGGTCTTTCACCGTCTAAAAAAAAACTATTTTTACCAGGATGCTCTTGATAAAGCGTGAACCAAAATAAGAACTGGAAAAAATTGCAAAAAATAACTGAAACTTTTCATAAATAACTTTAATAAATATTAAAAGTAAACTGTCATATTACATTTCTTAAAATAAAGCTCTAACACTTGAGTAAACCTAAAACCATAAAATATCCATCTCAAAACTCTTAATCTCCGGTCTTACAAGTAAAGTAGATAACTAAAACTCTACTCTTCTATCAGCTCGAATCCGGTCTCTGGCACCATAGGTGACACTCATACTGTCCTCCTCTAGTTGGTTGCTCTCTAGATACTCGCTCTACGACCGACTGCTTTCTTGGTCCTCCTCTACGACCTGGTGAGTGGGTTAGGGTCAGTCTACACCATTATTTATACTCAAAGTACCTAAGGGTATTTCCTTAGATATTCATCTCAAAATACTTGTGGAAGTTGTTTATACTCCTGGTATTCTTCAGGTGATATCTCTATCTAGACTATGAACTAAACCGACTTTCGGGTACGATACTATACCCTAACCTCTAGCTGATAAATCCTAGTCCCTGATTCGCTAAACCCAAACATGAAGTTTAATTTAATAGAAAATAATAATGACCGTTCAGATTGGTCTGAGCTCATCTAAGTACTTCTAACGGATGGATCACCTGGAGCATATATATATATACTATACTCCTAAAATACACCCGTCTTTATCTATTTGTTACATATAACATACTTTTAGAGACAGATAATGATAATAATTATAGAGAGATAATAATAATTATTATTATTATAGAGACAAATAGTATATTCATTGTATACAAGGTATTTTAGAAACAAATTATTCATTTGTCTCAATAATTTAGTCAGTCGTAGATCGTTTTTTTTTTGCAGTGTCATAAACACTACACCAATTAAGCAGTGATGTTGCCTATACAAGGTATTTTAGAAACAAATTATTCATTTGTCTCAATAATTTAGTCCTCGTAGATCGGTTTTCTTGTAGTGTCATAATTAAGCACTACACCAATTAAGCAGTGATGTTGGCTTGATTATGGGTACTAACTGTAACAACTTGTTTTAGCTCCGATGAGCAGTCTTGTTCCTCCATTTTTGGGATAATCTTCTCATTAATTTCCATCTTAATCATCTTCTCTTCTTTGACTTTTGCCCATAAAACACTATAGAGCCCTCCAGCCAACAACACTCCACCCAAAATACTATATGTACAAGTAAAGCCAAGGGAGGAGTTACGGTGCTAATTGTACAATAGTTAGCACCGTACTAATCAAGGGAAAAACTACTACTAGTTTGAATTAGTAGGGATTTAACTTAGATGTTGTATTGATTTTATAATAATCAGTAGTGATTTTGTTATTTTTAGTAGCGTTTTTTGCTAGTTATCACGGTGCTAACCCCTATAAGGGTTAACACCTAATCCCATCCCGTAAAGCCAACAGTAAAAATCCAAAACTAGATTAGCTTAAAGGATTAGTTAATAAACAAACAACGATCAGGAAATTAAGTATAGTAGCTAATTTCCTTCCGAGACTGATGAGGTCGCACAAAAACGCAGAGCATATCATTGTGAAGATGAAGGCCAAAGGAGTGGACATGGCTAGAAAAACTGGACCTTTCTTCTCTAGAACCCATGCTTGCAAGTAATAGGTTACCCCAGTCACCACAACTCTCTAAGCACACATATATAACAACAAAAACTTTAATTAGAAACACTAAAATTAAAGTCTAGGTCTATAACCTTTATAGATTAAAGTCTAGCTAGGTCTTAATTCTCTAAATATTAAGCACTAAAATCAATTTAATTAGAAATAATAATTAACGACTATAATTGTCAAAAAACATGCAACAAACTATATGCATCGTTTTAGGGTTTAGAATTTATGGTTTAGATGATTAGGACCTAGGATTCACTTATTAAGGGTCCATGAATATTATCATGCTCCAAAATTCAATTAATGTGAGATCTATCTAGCGTTTTCTTACTAAAAATATGTGTTATCCTAAATTTGCATAGAAAAACCACCTAAGCGCTAAACATAGATATATCATGACAATTATGATCACGGCATGACGGCAACAAGTTTTCCCCCTAATCAATTACGTACACAGTAAACCACGGCTACAAGTTTCATATCCCAGCCAAGTTTCCACTCATTAAGATCTCTTTCAATAGCGATTGTAAAAGTGAGGAGTTCGTGAATCGGAAATGAAATGAGAGCAATTAGGGATTAGGGATTTTTACCGAATGAGTCAGCAGTAGATTCGACCGTGATCAAACCAAAACGGTTTTAACCCATCTCATTATAGCAGGTTTCGGTTGGGCCGTTTTAATGAAAAAGCCCGCTGATCACAATAAGAGGACACTGGGCTTGACTTTCAATTAGGCCCGAATCTTTACTCAGAGAAGAAGGAGAGAACAAGTTCGTCTTCTTCACTGAGCCAGGCAACCAGAACAGAGACTTGCAGAACAGGCAACTAAAGATCCAGAGGGGTGACTCGATCAAGCATGATAGTGCGAGGGAGAAAACGTCGAGTCAACAGAAAGTGAAATGTGCGAAGGCCAGGGAGTAAGAATGCAGCAGGCAGAGTGAGATATGCATCAGGCTCATGACCAGTGAGCAAAAAAAAAAAAAAACTCATGAACAATATCAAAGTTAAAGTGATGGAATTCAGAGTCATTGGCCAGAATATCTCCAAACCTAGGGATATTTAGGAGACGCCTAAGATCCTCAAGAGGGATAGTGACAAGGTTTCCAGAGATCAAAGTGGTGAAGGTGCGAGTGTGGAGCCCAAATGACCGAAAGTATGAATAAAACAAACGAACACCTTCAGCACATATATGCTCAGGGGTGTCAGCAATCAAGAAGTCCCAACCCAGATTATGAACATATTGAGTAACGTCAAGCCGTACTCAATGAGATCAGCAAAAGGGACATGATATGTTGGAACAAGAGGGCGGTGAGCAAAAGAGATGGAGTGACGATGAGAGTTGGCAGGAATGGGGTCGTGAAAGAGAGTACCTGTGAAAGTTTTCAAGAACCCGAGCACCATAGCTACTAACTAGAAAGAACCCTAACGATTGAAGTAATGAAGAGGAAGGAAGACACAACAGACTTAAATAGAGAACTAAAGGCTAATACTGGAAGAATTTAAAGAAGCAAGTCACAAAACATATAAAGATAATAACTACAGAAAAACAAGGAAATTAAAACAAGAGCAGTAAGGCAGACGAGAAATCAGGAAAGATCTTCCAGATTGTCTGGAGATCTCAGCCCTATTTCGTATCAAAGGAAGGTAAATCTATCAGCATTCAAGTCTTTGGTAAACAGATCCGCTAATTGATATTCTGTAGGGATGTGACTAATAGTAATAGTATGCTGCTGAACTAAATCTCCAATGAAGTGATACTTAACCTCGATATGTTTAGTTCTTGAATGCTGGACCGGATATTTTGCCATACAAATGGCACTGGTATTATCACAGAGGAGAGGTATGGACTTAGTAAGCACATTATAATCCCTAAGCTGATTTTTAAGCCAAATGAGCTGAGTACAGCAACTGCATGCAGCAATATATTCTGCCTCAGCAGTGGAGAGGGCAACAACACCTTGCTTTTTACAAGACCAAGACACTAAGGACGTTCCTACGAACTGACACGTACCAGTGGTGCTTTTCCTATCAGTTAGGCTCCCGGCAAAGTCAGAATCACTATAGCCTATTAGGGAGAAATTGTTGTGTTTGGGGTACCATAAACCAACCTCAGGAGTCCCTTTTAGGCTCCCGGCAAAGTCAGAATCATTATACAATTTTTACTCTTTATAATAATTAATTTCATCTTAATATTTATGATGTTTGAAATATTTTATGTCTAATTTAGAGATATTCTTATTATTTGTGGCATTAGTGGTAGTTGGTTCAAATGTAATATTTTATCAGGTAGTCAAAATCAAATACTGGGTGCATTTATGATGTTTTTTTATCTTGGTGTTGCGAATAGGTAAAAACTTAATTATTATAATGCATATAACTATACTCTGGCACATGGTCGAGCTAGCATGACACAGTTAGAGCATTACCGTGAAAACAATGTATATGGATCGGCCCTATACAAGCATGAATGCTTTATGGGTCGTACCAGACTTAAACATCAAGAGCTCGCGCACAATTGCGAACACCACACAGTCTAGATTGGTGAACTCATGTTTTATGGAGAAATGCAATAAGCGGCCATCTGTTCGCCAGGTTTCAGGCCCTTTGATTCACACTTCGACTATGAAAGGAGAAGAAGCATGCATTTCGAACGCAAAATTGGAGAAGTAAATGAGATATTTCTAGGTTTCTCTCAATTCTGGGCGGTGGGAAGAAAGTGGAAGGGAAAGGAGGAGAGTAGTGTGATACAAAGCTCAGAGAGAGAGAGGGAGAGAGAGAGAGAGAGAGAGAAAGATGGAAGAACAAACGGAAAAACAAAGAGGATTATCGAGGACCTGCTGAGCAAGTGTCGCCATCACCGTCTCATCCAGCCTAATCCACACCTCTGTTGATATGACCTTGAGGATCTCAAAGTAAACCCATCGTTTGTCGACTGGAGAAGGAGTCGCCTACTGGAGCTTCGCCGATTGAAGAAGGAGCTACCGGATCGATCTTCTCTCTCTCTCCGCTAGAGGAAGAAGAGGCGGATTATAGCAGCTTCGTTCGATGGGGAGGTCGAGTTTGGGGGAGGCTGAGAGAAGAATGATCCGAGCTGGGGTTAGCAAAACGACACCGTTGTTCTAAGTGAACAAAAGGAAAAAAAAGTGGTCGAGGGATTCCAACGTTGGGCTCATTAAAAGGAATGGGGGCGTAACCTGGTGGGCAACGGGGAAAATATGTCCCTCATATTCCAGCAAACAATCTTTTATTTTTTCTGGCAGCTGCCTCTTTTATTCCCCATGGTTTTTTCCAAGGATAATGAAATTGCAAGTGAACACGTTTCTTACCATTTGTTTTTTTATTTTTTGTTGTCACACCAGAAAACAGAAAATAAAATGGCAAGTGAACGGGACATAAGAGAGAGTGAGAGGACACATTTAAAAGAGAGGGAAAATGAGGTAGTGTGAAATAATTGTCCTTCTGCTTTGCTTAAGGGGGATTCTTGGTCCTGTTGAGTTTTGATTTAATTTAGGAGATGACATTATATTTGATAGATTTTTTTCATTTCAATTAAGGGGTTGTTTGAAAGTTGTGATTGTTTTGTTGAGATTGTTACTATATTGTATTGTTTAGAATACATCATTTTTTAATTTTTAGTAGAAACAATATATGGATTACATCTGTGATATGACAGAAACTATCACTCAAAATGAGTGATTGTTATATCTCAACTTTTAGTTGTGATTGTTGAGATAGTTGAGTTGATATTGTTTTGTCTAAACTTTTAGCTTATGTGACATACACAATGCATCTAATCCGACAATACATATATAATATTATACATGCATTCACAACAAAACATCTATTTAACAATCGCAACTTCCAAACGACCCCTTAAAATCCTAAATAAATATTATTATTTGGATGATTTTTTTCCCTTAATACGATTATGTTAATTTCTGAGATTTAAGAGTATTTGATAATGTCAATATTTTAGTGGTTTTTTATTTAAAGTTTGAATTGAAAGATCGTACGTACTGGTGGTTCGACCATAAAAATTCACACCATAGGCTAAATCTATACGTGATATTTAGCAATATGAAACGGTTGAACCACAGTTAAATTATGATTTCAGTATAAAATACTCTACTACCAGAAAAATTTATACTATTAGAATCATTTGGTTCAAACAATTCTTTTACGTGGTAACAGAAGTTTTAAGGCACATTTTGAACTATCTATTGCAAAAAAGCATAAGTCAGTTAGCGATAATGAGAATATGCGATCTCATTCTATGCAAAAGACACTTTGCAACTTCTATATTTTTAAAATAAATATATGTTACTTATTAAGTTGATGGATGAGCGAGGGTATAAGTAACATACATTTCATGTAATATGATTTTCATAGGTTTTTATTAATTGAATTATTTCATGAAAAAATATTTGTTGCATGAAAATTACTACATTGTTGCTAGACATATATGCGATGTGAGAATAATTTGGGAAGACCATACACAACATATTGTCCAACTAACTATTAGAGACAATTTAGTATCATATCCTATATATTTCAAATCAAGCAACTTCAGATTCATTACCAACGGTGTGGTAAAAAAGAATGCTCTCTATTGGAAAAAAACTTAAAGGACATACTAAACTCTATGAGAGACATTTTCTTTCATCTTAAAGGTTGATTATGTATGTATTATGAGAAACAACTCTAATATTCAACTATATGGTTTAATTAAGTAATGAATGACCCTTATTTATATTTATTTCTTTGTTCATTTAATAATTATAAGTAATATTTATATTATATTTTTTTTCTCTTTTCATGGAGGTCTAAACACATTATGCATAGTTGGATCACTTTCAAATATGTTATGTGCATAACTAAGGTAGAAAACAATCATTTTATGCTTTTCAAATCATCTATTAAATATCATATTCCTCGACAAAATTCTTCCGGCCAACGGGCCGAGTCTTGTGCTAGTAATAATAGATGATGATAAAAGATTGGCAAACAAGGGATTGCTCAAATGGTAATAGTATTAGTATTCAACTTGGAAATCTCAGATTCAAATTAAATCACTCCGGTAATACCTATCTTTAAAAATCAATCTATGCCACTCTTATCAAGTAAGATAAAAGATGGTGGTAACACAGAGGGGTATTGTTTTTATGCTAAGAGGGAGGTATGCGCGGACCTACCTTGTCTTGTGTCTTCTGTATGGCTGGTTCATTTGGTTAGATATGGTCATGTCCAAATTCAATTTTGGTTCATCGTTTCTTCACACGTAAAACAACTCATAGGAACAAAATCGAATTGAAATATATTTGATCTTATCAAATTCGGTCTCAATATTGATTCGATATGATTCGATCTGGTGTGAACCAGATCATTGCGCACCCTAAAATAGACACATAAATAATTATTTAGTAATCAGAAAAATCAATAAATAATTAAATAATTGACAACGGACCAAAATCGATTTCAGACCTCAGTACAAAGTGCGTGGTTTATTTGCATTAATAAATTGCGAAGTGCAAAGTGACCCAAACATAGTAAGCATAAAATTATTTCAAATAAACACATATTTTTTTATTTCTATTTCTATGGTTTAGAAGCTCAAACAAGCCAATTAAACAGTGACATTGGCTTGATTATGGGCAACAATTTTAACAACTTGTTTAAGCTCAGATGAACAGTCTTGTTCTTCCACTTTTGGGATAATCTTCTTCTTAATGATCTCCATCTTAATCATCTTCTCTTCTTTGATTTTTGCCCATAAAACACTATAGAGTCCTCCAGCCAACAGCACTCCACCCAAAATACTATATATACAAGTAAATCCACAATCAAAACAACCCAAAATTAGATCATCCTAAGGAATTAGTTAGTAAACTATGATTAAGAAATTAAACATAACAGCTTTTGTATATTTGGTTGAATCGGACTAATCGGGTCAAACTAGTTTGATGGTGTTGGATCGATCAAACTAATTTGGGGTTAGAACAGTTAAATCAAATATTATAATTTCATAAAGGGACACATCCATTTGATTTAGTAGGGGTTGCTTTTTTATGGATAATGACAACCTTATGAATAAAGACAACTTTTCATGAAATAATGCACGGATTCGAAACCTATAAACATGTGTGTGGAACGGATGATGCGAAAGATGATTAAACAGTTTCCTCAATTCTTCCGAAAAACTTATACGTTTGCGTTATATTTCTTAAGCATAGAATGTAAAGTGGTGATAGTTGTATCATTAGGAAAAACTTCCTATAACCCAAGGCTTTGTGCAGGGTTGACATTTTTTTCCTTCCAGAAAGTAAACCGTAGTTATTCGAACTTATGCTTCAACTCGAATTATCGGGACTAATTAATTATGTACAAAAATCAGTACCTGTAAATCCGAATTTTGACACCACTCAATCAGGCATGTATTGGCAACAACTTGAAGTCTTTCATGAACACATACATGACATACTAAATCTCGATATTTCCAAACTAAGAGACTATATGTACCTTCCAAGGGCGATGGAGTCGCATAGCACTGCTGAACACAACATTGTAAAGATGAATGTCAATGGAGTTGGCACTACTAGAAATACTGGATCTTTCTTCTCGAAAACCCATGCTTGCAAGTAATATGTCACTCCAGTCACCACAACTCCCTACACAATCATAGATAATTTTTTTTAGAAAATTTATGTGTCGAAGAAGTGGAGTATAATATTCTACATTTTAAACAATTCAAATATTCTAATTCTCTTAATTTTTAAAAAATTATTTAAATTATTTTCATTCTTTGGTAACTACGATTATTAGCATCTAATAATAATAATAGTGATTCTAATTTTTTTTATCAAATGACATGTTTTCATTTAATCAAAAGAATCAGTGACTAAACACATTAATTTTTATTGGTAAGGGTATTTAGTTGAATAAATAAATAAATAAAAGAAGAGAAAAAGTAGGAGAAAAAATCTCAAAAATTAAATCAAGATATACAATTCTCTGATTATGAGAGATTTGATATCTATAAAATTTAGGAATTCAAAATCTTTAAAACTAAAATCAGTTATACACAAAGTAGAAAAAAGAACATAACTTTTTGATCCATGATCCAAATTATTTTCTCCAAACTAGTATGAAGAGACCATGATAGAAACTAAATGGTAACATGATAAATGAGTTTAGAATTATTAATTACACAATAAGCCACAGCAAAAAGTCTTATGTTCCACCCAAGCTTCCATTCTTCGAGATCTCTCTCCGCAACAACTGCAACCACTAGTGATTGGATCGAGCTCTGAAAGCACTGCAGAGTCGTGAACATAAGTTTTGATGGGTAGCTCTTCATAACGATTAACTGCAACACCAAATGAATGAAAAAGGGAAGAGGGGATCTCCCCTAACAAGACGAATTATTGGGACCGAACGGTTTACGACCATGATAATCAATACCTGAATGACAAGCCAAGAGCCAAAGGCGATGTTGGAGAAGAGCATCAAGAAACAACCTTTGACCCATCATCTATGAGAAGAAGTACTAGCATGATGTCGTTGTTGGGAACCAAGGTATTGGCTTTGGCCATGGAGATGTTTGAAGAGACAAAAGAACTTGAAATGGGGGCCTTTGTAGAATGCAAGAGCTGCAACTCCTCCCAAGCATATCACTATTCCTGCTAGTTTTGCCACTCCTGTTCGTGTCCTCACCTTTAAAGTCTCCATTCTGAGAACACGATAGAATATATAGCAGCAAATTAAGTGTTAGCAACCTAATCACTTACTCTTTTAAAATTATATTAAATGGCGATGTCGCGTCTTGTCGCGAGGTGGAGATGGCCTATGGGCATGTATTATATTATGTGACTCGTTTATGGTGTTTTGTTAGTATTGTTAGCCTATAATTAATTTTTATTAGTAGTTTTGTTAGTAATATTGACTTGACAATATGATATTGACTGAGAACAGATATATGACGATCAACATTCAATTAAAAAAAAATTTGGCTAATAAATAATATTTACCTAAACCCAAGTAAACCCATTGATTATGGGAAGGGAATGGCTGACGTATTTATGAGTTTGGTAGTTTGTAGATGGGTTTGGGTAGGGCATGGATATTTACTTCTATAATCTATATGTGTATGAGTTGCGTATGGATACCCATTTATTCGAGGGTGTTTTAATTACGCATAAAAAATTAGACTTATTTGTAGGACTTCAAAAGTTTAGGTACGAAAATGTAATACACAAAAATTTTAGGTACTAAAATGTAATGTTCCATCAATATTTTGAGGACTTACATGCCAAAAAAATATTTAGGTTATAAATCTAAAGTTCTATTAAGTTTAGGTACCGAAATGTAATTTGCATAGTTGAGACTTAATTCCTTTTAAGATGTTGTATTTAAGATGATAAATATTAACTTTTTATAGAAAATTGGAAATTATTTATTTGAAATGGTAGATACCTAGCCAAACATTCCATGTACAATTGTTAAGAATTCTAGCACAGATGAAAAAGAAAAACTCTAAAGAGAAGCAAAAGGAATATAAACTGAAAATAGTATAATAATTAACGTTAGACGAAGTAGGCAAAGAAAGAAATAAAGAAAGGGTTATGAAAGGCGAGTGAAAAATGAAACGAAGAGGAAGTAAATGATGGAAAGGTTTGGTCATTTTTATACTCATATTGACATTTTAATTATAATTTTTATTACTGCTGATTTTTTTAAACATTGTTCTATTAAAATGTCATACAAAAACTAAGTATAGATCAATATCTTAATGTACTGTATTATATTTACTATATATGTTGTCACGTCACCGAATAGTATGTTCTTTTAAAAAATGGTAATTATTATTTCAAATGGATAACATACATATCTTTTGAAATAAAAATACCATGGAAAACCAAACTGGTCGAATCTTCTCCTACATTTGAGTGCTACAACATCTTGTATGGTGCAAACTAAATCTATACTTATGTTATGATGGATTGGATTCATGGATTCAAATGAAATCTAAACATTCAATATGTAAATTTAAAAAATTGTAAGCTCGAAAACTCAGAAAATAAAGATACCAAAACATAATTGTTCAATGATTTTACAGTAAAATTAAATCTTGGGTATCAAAATATAAATGTACAATATATTAACTAAGTTGTAATTTAATTAAATTTGAGATATCAAAATGCAATTATTTAGGCAACAGTAAACCAACTTCACGTTTATATATATTAACTTATATACAATGTTTGGCGGCATAAAAATGTACAATAACATCAAATGTTACCAGAACTTTGTAAGAAATACGAATCTAGGCGTTGTCGATTAGGGAACCACAACAGATAAATTGATTACATTGTAATAAACTATTAGTTAATAAATGCTTAATTACCCCAACAGAAGAGCCACGAAGAAAGTGATGACGGGAGCTGCATTACTGGAAGCAGCACCCAAATTGGCAGAAGTATACCTTAAACCCACCCCATTGAGGTTCAAACTCAACGTAATCCTGCACAAATATTCCACAAATTATTAGAATGAAGGTAATCTTTGAAATCCCTACGAAAATTCAACGGAATTTAGCTCGTTTGGTTAAATTGGATTTCATAAATATTTGCATGGAAAATATTAATTTTTTGTGCTCGAAAAAAAGATAAATATTTTTTATATTTTTGGAGCAAATTAAATTTGTTTATATACCACTATCATATCATCATATACCACCGTCAGTGCTACGATATATACTGGAATGATTTTGATATGATGTTTGTGAGATCTTTCGATTAGGCAAAATAATTTGATGAATATTATTATTATTATTATTATATATATATATATATATATGGTGGCTTCTATGGTACCCGGGTGAAATCCGGGGTACCGCATACCTCGAGTATGGAAACTCTATCTAGACCTCGAATTACCAGGATTTTTGTGTCTGATATTATACCCTAACCCTTAATGAGTGAACCCTAGGTCATAATTATCTAAATCATAATCTATAAACCCTAAGATGGTGCATTCCTTTTTGTGCCTATATTTGGATGAATCATAACCGTCGATTATTATTTCTAATTAAATTGATCTTGGAGTATAAGATTGGGAGAGTTAACACCTAGATTTTGATCTTTAAGTGTTAGAGTATAGTATCATGTCCGAAAGATCAATCAATTCAAGGTCTAGATAGTGTTTTCATACTCAAGGTATGCGGTACCCCGGATTTCACCCAGGGTACCATAGAACTCGCCATATATATATATATTAACTAATGATGGTGCTATAGTTTATAGTAATATGGATGTTGGTACGAGGTTTTACCATTTCAAATGCCGAGTTGAATTGAATTATATCAACCATTTTTTGAAACAAAGGAATAGACAGATTAACCATCAATAATCCAATTGAACCAATTAACAAGTAAAAAAAAAACAAAATTTATGGTGTGAGGAATCATCTGATGAGTTATATAAGTACCCGCCGAGAGAGAGGACGAAAATCTTGCAGAAGGTGGGGAGAGAAAGCGGCGGCGCGTGCGTCCTGTTCGCCGCCGACCGGGGAATATAATATTGGAATGAAATTTACAAAAAGAAAAAAAGTATCAATTGAACTGAATTCATGAAAGATTTGAGAAATAAAGAGTACCACTCAAGGAAGAAGGCAAGGGGAGCAAGGGCAACGGTGGCGAAGGCTTGCCGGTAGAAGACGAAGATGTAACTGTTGAAGCCGCCGTCGAACGCCGCCTTGGAGAGGAGAAACATTCCGGCGTAGATCAGCCGTATTAATAACACGGCTACGTAAGCCTTCGTATTGTCGTTGCACCACCTTGACGACGACGTCGTCTTAGAACCTCCTCCTCCTTCTCCACCCATATTTACAGCTCTTCTATATGATTACCAAATTGTTGGTTTTGTGTTGTTGGGATGTCGTGTAATTAATATATGTATGGGTTACAATTACATGCAATATATATAGTACGTAGTCAAGAGGAACCTTTCAATTAGGGCTGGCTATTTGGTTTTACCCGAGATCGGACCGTATAATATAGACCGGGATCGGACTGGAACCGGATAGCAAACAATTCAATCTCATATTCGGGTTTAGATTTGAGGTAATAAGTCGTTTGGGACCGGATCAAAAACCGGATAAAGACCAGATAAGAGAGTCCAACACCCAAAACTTAACCAACTCCTCACCATTTGAGGTCTCATGCCACTCAAATTCTTACAAGCTCAATCTTTGGTCCTTATATTCCCGAAAAGACTGGACAGGAATCGGATCAATTCGAGCCAATTTAACTGGATCGAACCGTATAGCGACCCCTACTTTCAATCATAGCACGGCAATTTTGGCTCTATCACGGAACATAGATAAAAAAAAATTATAAGGATGATATAGTTTTGTTTTTAGTTAGATGCTAGTTAAGATATTCAAATTTAGAATTTACGTGTTCAAATTTTGAATTTACCACTGAACTAAGTCTTGTTCGCTCGAACATAGGTAAATTGAGATAAAAAAATAAAAAAATTCCTAACTACTGCTTTTTTTATAAGGGTGATATAGGTTTTTTTTTTTTTGATTGAGATACTATTTAAGAAATTCGAATATGAGACCTCCACGTTCTAATCTAGTGGTATTACTACTAGGCCAAATTCCTAGGTACTCTTATGAAAGAGTCTATCTCATCACCTTCAGATGACATAAGAGTATTTAATTGTCATACAAAATTAGTGCACTATAATAATGAAATATTCATTAAAGTAATTTATATTTTGAATAAAAAACAAGACAGCTAGTTTCAACATGTTGACTCCACCACCACCTCTCATGTTAGTTTCTAGAAAGATAAAAGCAGATGTGTGTATTTAATTATCTTAAAAATTTGATGGAGATAAGAACCTGTTGGGTAGGAGTGGACCTTTTGTTCTTGAAGCCTAGAGGTGTATCCAGTGGCGGATCCAGGGGGTGGCCACCCCGGGCCCCGGCCCAGCCCTCCTCTGAATCCGTAGTTAGTATAGTCCTTATGAATTTTTCGATTTTAGGCATTCGGCTTAGTGTGATTTTATAATAAAATTGGGTATAACTAGAAAAATGATTCAGATGACCATATTCAAATCACTACTCTAAATTTAGTCTTTAAATTTTAGCCCCAAAGTTTATGCATATATAAAAAAATAATGAAACCTAAAATTCTAAAAGTTTAAAACGTAAAAGACTAAAAGAAATATGAGGTTTGTTCCCTTGAAAACTTACTAGAGCAGTTGGTGGATGCAGGGATTGACACACAATGCCAATTGATTAGTCGATTGATTTGTCTAGTGTTAATGCTGCTCGTTTCAACAGCTACTACGAAGAGAACCTTTTCAACAATGAAATATGTGAGAACTGATTTGCTCAACAAAATGAGCGATGAATTTCTTGCCGATTGCTCAAGTATTTTATTGGAAATAATGTATACTATTGGTATGGATGTCGGCTCCATTATTGATGCATCACTAAATTAAGATACCATCGTGTACAATTTACATTGGAAAACAACTATAATCATTATGTTTTAATCACCTATTTTGATTTAGGAAATTCATCATCAAAATCCGTTAAAATAAATTATGAAATCCGTGAAACACTAATGATATACTCTGGTTGATTTGAGTTGAATCGATTTGGATTATTGTGGTAAGTTAATCGAAAAGATAGAAAACTAACAATGGTATGTTTTTCTGATTTTTCTTAATCGCTCATGAGATCGTAACAATACATAATAACAGTAAATTAAGAACCATAGGAACAAGATACATTAGAAAGAAATAAGGAGAGCACGTATTTATATTTGTTGATTTCTTAGTATGTAGAAATCATAGAATTGATTCCTTTCATATAGGCACGTGGGACACGAGAATATTGAAAGGATAAATAAATTATGAGTGGTAATAAAAGTGGAGTAAATAGTAGTAGAATCAGATCTACTGACCTAACAATTGATTTGACATTGATGTGAACAATTACCACTTGATTTTTTGTAATGAAATAATTAGATTGAATGACATTCACAATATATATCTAAAATTATATTTCTTAATAACATGTGCCAATATATACTATAGTTTATTAGTTTTGTGCTTTTCTGATGGACATTGCCAATTTTTCATTTTTACCAAATGATCGTTCGTATTACCGAAGAAAAAAGTCAGATATAAAAAGTAACATGATCGAAAACAATCAAGAAGTAAAATCGAACTCAACTAAAGAAAGAAACAATGAAAGAACTTTATGTGCCATCAAATGGGCAACCATGTTAAATTCCTGCTACCAAATGCCAACCAAATGATGATATTTGGTTTATCTTTTGTTTATTATTTTTTTTAATAGTGTTGAGCTATTTTATTTTATATTTGTTTCATTTAGTAAGAGTGATATGTATATAGGTTTAGTTTTAATATTAGGTGCCAGTGAAGAGATTGGAACTTGGAATCTTCATGTTGAAATCCAACAATATAACTACTAGACCATGCCCTTGTTCACATTTCTTTTTAAATTTGATTGTGTTATTTATCTATTATCTGAATTTTGTCTAGCCGAGAATGCCACATTTAGTACACGTTTAATCAGAATCAGTAATAATGACAAATAATAAGAATTGTATCAGTTGATCTTTGATTGACTAATAGTTTTCAACTTCATATATTTTGCATGTACTTTCATTGATTTTGTCTTTGGAACATCTAAATGTTTGGGCTAAACATTGTAAATATTTAGCCGTTGTTTCAACTCGATGATGACGGCTTCACGAAGAATGTTCAAATTGTTATACAAAATGATATAAGGAGTTGAATTTTTCTGTTTAATGAATGTATATACACATATATAACTCAACAAACTTAATAGTTGAACCTTCTGATGATGTAACTACTGACGAACTTGCCATTTCGATTCAATCGAAGTGCTTTTACATTCTGTTTCAAGTTAAAACTTATACTTCATCTTCGAACTCTTCGAAATTTTTTGAAAGTTTCAAACTGGTACTTCCGACAAGTAGCTAGTTAAAAAAATTCTCCGTTTCAATCGACAGCTAAAATCAAATCACCGAAAATTATGCTTAGAAATTAGAATCAATTGAGAACTTTATCATTGTGTCTAGCTCCACGCGACAATTAAATATATAGTTGGGTCACGTCATTTCCTGAGCACAACTTGTACCCACTTGAAAGCTCAAGTCATTATTTCATGAGATGAGACCTCAGCCCTGGAATCCATACTCTTGGAATCTCATGACCTCAAGTGCTACTCCACTTATAAACCCTATCAAGGCGTTGCCATAAAATACGAGAGTTGGCGTTGCTAATGAGCAAGATATGAGAGTAGAATGAAACATTTTCATAGATTTGGTACTATTTGGTAATTGGTTAGGATTAGATAGTTAACATGTATTAGGAATAGGTACTATTCTGTAATTTTCTTTTCTCTCACTTTCATTCTCTACTCTACTCTTTCTAGTATATGGTATCAGAGCACTACTAAGCTCTAAGCTTACTCTCTCGCTTCCAATTTCTGTTTTCCCTTTTCTGCAACCTTAACTCCTTCGGACCATTCTCCTATGGTGGCTTCGGCTAATTGCATCTTCTCTGGCTTTGACTTTATGGTTTATTAGCTCTGTTTGATGTTATAACAAATGTTGGTATTGATGCTTCAAATTAATTCCAAGACTTGGAGTTATGGAAGACACTTGAGATTACTTGGGGTTATGAAAGTTAATGACCAAATCGAGTTAATTGTGTGGAGTTTCCATTTGGTTAATGGGAGTGTCGTTCACTTTTCGTTGTCATCTCATAAGCCATTTTACATGGCTATAAATAGGGAGTCTATTGTTGTTGAATAGAGACACCAATTCTTTCCAACTCTTTTATTCTCCTAAAGTGTAGAATATCTTCTTGAGTACTTTTCCTTTATGTTAGGAGTTTTCTATTTACTCCACAACTTTTTACGTTGAAGATTATTCATTGATCATAGTGGATTTACTGGCTTGTCCAACCCGTGGGTTTTCTCCCTCCTCTTAGGAGGGTTTTCCACGTAAATTTGGTGTCTTGTCTTTGTTCATTCTCTTCTCTATTTTCTTGTTCGATTTCATATTGGGTTTGCTTTCGCTAGTGCTCATTTATCCAGGTTCAAAATTCGTCAAAACGACAACAAGTGGTATTAGAGCCCTTGACAACCAATTGAAATCCTTGACTAGATGACTGCAAAGTTTGACATTACTTGATCTCGAAGCCAAACCAGAGACCTTGAATGATGTCCAATGGGAATAGCTCGATGTAAAGGCTCTTACTGCTATCCAATTAAGCCTGTCAAAATCGGTTTTGCAGGAGGTGGTGAGTGAGACTACTACAATTGGACTTTGGACAAAATTAGAGTCACTTTACATGACGAAAAGTCTCGCTAACAAGCTTCGTCTAAAAGAGAAGTTGTACACTACTCATATGGCTGAAGGTACTCCAATTCAAACCCATCTTTCTACCTTCAATTCCATTGTTATGAACTTGGAAAATATTGACGTGAAAATTGAAGATGAGGATAAAGCTGTTTTATTAATATGTCCATTGCCTTAGTCCTTTAAACAATTCAAAGAGATTATGCTCTATGGAAATATGGATACTTTATCTTATGAAGATGTAAAATCTAACTTACTGTCAAAAGAAAAATTTGACTTTGAGTCCAGTTCTAATGACAAAAGTGAAGGTTTATTTATAAGAGGAAGATCCAAGGAAAAAGGGGAATCCAGCAAAGGTAAAGCTCGATCCAAGTCACATGGTCTAAAATGTGATAATGGGAAGTATTGTCGCTATTGTCTCAAAACTGGTCATGAAATTTCTAAATG